ATAATTTTATATTTTTAATATGATAATATATTTTATTGAATTATTTTATATTTTTATCCTAGCTATGGGATAATATTTTTATTTATTATTTATTATTTAATATTTTTAATATGATAATATTTTTTATTTTATTGATTTCTTTTATTTTTTATCCCAGCTCTGAGATAATGGTTTTTATTTATTATTTATTATTTTATATATTCCATATGATAATAATATTTTTATTTTATTAATTTATTTTATTTTTTATCCTAGCTCTGGGATAATGTTTTCTATTTATTAATTTTATTTTTTATCCCAGCTCTGGGATAATGGTTTTATTTATTATTTTATATATTTAATAAGAGAATAGTTTTTATTTTATTTTTTATCCCAGCTCTGGGATAATGTTTTTTAAAATTATTATTTATTATTTTATATTTTTAATATGATAACATTTTTAATTTATTGATTTATTTTATTTTTTTATCCTAGCTCTGGGATAATATTTTTATTTATTATTTATTATTTTATATTTTTAACATGATAATATTTTTTATTTTATTGATTTCTTTTATTTTTTTATCCCAGCTCTGGGATCATATTTTTATTTTTTATTTTTTATTTTTTATTTTTTATTTTTTATTTTTTATTTTTTATTTTTTATTTTTTAATTAATTTTTTATTTTTTTTTTTTATTTTTTTTATTTTTTATTTTTAATATGATAATATTTTAATTTTTTTTTTTTTTTTTTTTTTATCCCAGCTCTGGGACAATGCTCCCAGCGCATTTCTGTGCCCCACAATGCTGTGTGTGAAGGGAGGGAAGGGGTGGCTGTGCCCCAGCCCCACTCCTGCACCCCAGGGATGCTCCGGGAGCCTGGGGCAGCCAGGGGAGCAGGCAGGCAGCAATGCTGCCCTGCAGCCAGGACAGGACAGGGGGTTCATGGCAATCCTTCCTAATGGTTTTGTTTGTGAGGCTCTGAAGGGTTTCCAGTGGGTTTGCTAATGAGCTGGGTTGTTGTTGATACCGCTAATTACTCTGCAAACGGGGGGTCAGGGCTCATCTTCCTTCCCACGAGCTTCCAACCACCAGCATTAAACACACAACTGTGCACTTTGGGCTTTTCCTCCTCCTCCTCCAAGCTGAATCCTCATTCACTCCCAGAATTGCTGCCATTCATCTTCCAGGAGCTCTCTTGGGCTGGCTGAGGGTGAGGAGAAGGAACCTGGAGCCCCAAACTGGGTTTTTGTGTCCTGTTGGATCCCAGAAACACACCTGATATAGGAACAAACTGGATTCCTGCTGCTGGTTAGCAGGGCTGGAAGCCCTGATGGTACTGGGGATTTGTTTCTCCCAAAAGCTGAAATTCTTCTCTCTGGAAATGCCCAGGGAGAAGCTGGGAGGTGTTGTCTGTGTTCCTCTGCTGCCTTTCCTTTTCCACCCCTCCTTCCCAGGAACTTGCTTTTAGGCTTCATTTTTATTGTAAAGCAGGTAGAAAAGCTTTGAGCAAAGATTTTAGTCTGGCATTTAAAAGCTGAAAGAGCTTCAATTTCGAGCATGTTGGGTTTTGTGATGGATGAATTTCCATTAAGGGAAAGTGGGAGGCTCAGCTGAGTCTTACCAACTGCTTTCATCTGAATATGAAGGGTTTTGTCCATGAAAACCAGTGGTGTCACTTAAAATATGTAATTTTTGGTGACTATTTCTGCGTAAGGAAAAGGATTACTTTCCATTAACCTTTCTTGTGTGCTGGAACTGGTTCAGTTCAGTGTTAATAGTTGGGAATTGAGGGAAATATCCTCCCAAAACTGTTGCTGAAGGTTGAAGTTGAATGAGTCTGCACTTTTCCATAAATCATTTGATTTTATGACTTCAAGGAGACAGCCATTTTATTTGACTGTTATTTTATAGAGACTTATTTGTGTTTTTATGTTTAAAAATATTGCAAATAAGATAATGGTTGTACATTGCATAGCCACAAATTCCCCCCTATCAGTCTTGGAGTTAGAATTGATGGGACAGGGCTCCTGGTGTGGTCACATATTTTACCACAGGCTCCAAATTAGAGCTGCAGATAATAAAATAATGAGGAAAGGAAGAATGTTGTGGTTTTAGGCTGGAAAAAGGTTTAATTGTGCATTTCCTTACAGTATTTTTCCATGTGCTTATAGTTAATAAAGCCATTAACTTACGGAAAAGGGGAGGTGAGGCTGGGAAAAGCTTTCAGAGAGTGGAATGAGTGAAGTTCCTACAGATTTGGTGAATATGGAAACTCCTCTCTTGTTGCTCTTTTGGGTCTCATCTCCCCTGCAGCCAACGGCACAGAACTGACCCTAAAGCTGTTGATTTTTGTTTGTTTTTTTCCACTCCCATTTTCAGGACTTGCAGTGGCTCCTTGGAGATGCCATTATGAATATTCTGTTGTTTATTCCTTTGTTTGATCTGTGGCTCTGCCAGCCCTGCTGCTCCCAGGGCTGAGAGGGATGGAGGGGAGAGGGGAAGGTGCTGGGTGGGATCTGAGGGTTCCTGGAATTTCTCACTGCCATTTGCACAGAATGTTCGTGCTGCCATTCAGTGCTGTGCTTTGGGTGATCACATCACCCTGAAATCCTTCTCAGGGCTATTATTGATCCATAGGAATTCTGTGAATTCCCAGACTGGAGCTTTGTGGTTCAGTTTTGTCTCATGTAAAGGAAATGAGGTTTCAGATCTCTCCTTAGGGGTGGTGTTTCAGTGTAGACATGTTAGTTTTTTGGGTTTTTTTTCTATGAAGTTTAATAATAGTGGAATAGAAAAGTGTTAGAATTGGAGGGAATTTGGGAGGATATATTCTGCAGAAACTGGGGTAGGGAGGGAAGAGATGGGAGTGTAGGCACAATGTCTTTTAGGAAATACATGTGTTTATGACCACAGTGAAGCACTTTGAAAGAAATACAGCTCTGTGTGTGTGGAAGGGGGAAGGCAGGGTGTGGGACTGGAGATCATTGCCAGGAAACAACCAGAGCAGGGATTGATTGCAAAGGCAATTCCTCACCCTCCTGTACCCTCACTCTCCTCCTGGTCTCCCCCATTCTCTCACACACACAGAACATTCCCTTCTCCAGCTGTGTTGGAAGCATCAGCAGGATCCCAGTGCTGTCTGAAGGAAGGGCATGGAACAATGTCCTGGCCATGCTGGGCATGTGGCTGTGACACAACTGCAGCAGCTGAGGAAACAGCACTGCACGCTCCAGAAGGAGCCCCAGAGGAAGGAGGCTTTGTAAATTATTCATGCTGGCTGCTGTGAAAGCAATAGAATTAAATTAAAATTGAAATATAAACATCCATCATGGCAGATTTGTGGACAGAAAGGAGCTTGGCTGCTGTGGGCGCCACAGTGGTAGTGCTGAGTGCAGCCCAGCAGCATCCCCAGAGCTCAGCCTGGGCTTCTGCAGCTCTGCCCAGGGGCTGGGGGAGCCTCTGGGGCTGGAACTGCTCTGCAGCCCCTGCCCTGAGTGCCTTGGGCTGTGCTGGCAGATTTGAAGGTGTGGGGGGGTCTGTGCTGCACCCCTTGGGTCCAGCTCAGCATCACCAAGGGCAGAGCTCCCTTTTGAAGCCATTTTTCAGCCTCTGAGGAGGTCAATCCCCAGAGCTGTGCTGGGGCTGCTCTTTGTGTTCCTCTTTTAGCTCTGCACAGGTGCTTTTAAACTTTCTTAAGGGAAATCTGCTCAGTCCCTCAGGCCAGCACTGAGGGAGGTGCTGTGGGAAGCTCCTGCCTGGGCTGGGGTTGGAAGCCTGGGTGCCATCTGTGTTCCTGCCATGCTGTGGCCAGATTGCATTTCCAGCCTTTGTGGTCTCAGCTGTTTTTCATTAAATGGAGTTTTCCTGAAAGTGCCTGTCCATAAATGCTCCTTCCCACTCAGCACACTGGGGTTACCAGCACTGCCCCAGCCCCTGCACAGTGAGAAACAGGAGCTGGAGAGTGTGGGATGGTGGAGAACTGTGCAGAAGGACTCTCCTCTCTCCCTCTCTCAGTGAATTCTCAACTCTGGCCATAAATTATTTAGTGATGGTGGTGAAAAGGGAAGGGAGAAAGGGGAGAAGCAGGTTTAATTTCAGGCACTTCTGCCGAAAGAATGGATAGAATGGTTTTGAAAAGGTATGAAGGAAAGGTGGAAAAAACCCCAAATCAATCCTGCAAAGTGGCTCCAATTACCTCAGCCTCAGCTTGGAGTTGAAAAGCAATTTAATGCAAGCAAAGCTTTTCACCTTAGAGCAGGAGAGCTGTGGCTGCAGCCCCCAGAGGCACCTGGGGGTTCCTGGGTCCTTTTCCATCCTCTGCCTTCTTCTGATGGAGTTTATAAAGGCTGACTCTTTGAGGCTGCCATCAGTGCCCAGGGTGAGAATCCCTTTGCTGCACTCAGTCTGTTGATCCGTCACAGCAAAGGGAATCATCCAAGGAAAACCACCTGTGAGTCCTCTCTGTGCAATGGCAGGGGTGGGACTCCAGGTTAGTTTTAATGAGCATATGCCAGCTGAAATGAATAAAGCACATTTTCTCCCACTTCATGCTTTGGATGCAGGTTATAGTTACTGCAGGGTTTTTATTTCTTCCCTTTTGTGCAGCATTGCTGTGCCATGTCAGGATGTATCATTATGAAGTTTAACTGCCCTGTGCTCTAGGTCAGGCTTTGGTTCCTGTAAGGCTTTTCTGAGTTATGAAGTGGTACCAATAATATCTTTTCAGCCTGGAGAACTCTGCCAGAGAGAGGCTGGTGGAGGGAAATGGGCTTGAGGGCAGGACCAGACAGAGTAATTGTGTCGAATGCCTGCGGCACAGAACTCGAGCAGTGCCACTCCCAGGAGGCTTTGGCTTGTTGGGGGGCTTGGAGGGAGAACCAAATCCTTGGGAAGGAGTTTTCCACCAACCTTGGAGAGTGTTGGAGTGGCAGCTGGCGTTCCAGGAGCAGGCAGTGTGGGGAGAGCCGGTTTTCCCCTGGCCAATGCCATTCCTGTGACCCTGTGGGCTCTCTTGCAGTGCACGTGCCGCAAGGACATGGTGAAGATCTCCATGGACGTGTTTGTCAGGGTGCTGCAGCCAGAACGCTACGAGCTCTGGAAGCAGGGCAAGGACAGTGCAGTGCTGGACCACATGAAGCCCACGGCCCTGAGCAGCCCCGAGCTGGATGCCTGGAACGAGACCAAGGCAGAGCTGAAGGCAAAGCTGCTCCGCAGGTAAAGCCAGAGAGGGGCTGAGCCCTGCCTGGAGTTCAACTGCTCAGTTGGAAATGCTGCACTTCTTCATGGAGATGGTTCAAACTCTTTTATTTTCTGCCTTTGTTCTTTTCATACGGTTCCTCGTGCCGTTTGTCTGGGGTAATGTGTCCCTCGTGGTCCTGTTTCCTTCCCATGTTATAAAAGCACATGCTTTTCAAAGTGGGACACTTCGTGCTTCCTCACATCTCATCTCTTATCCTGAAGACACAAAAAAAATCTATAGTGAACATTTAGAGCTTCACTGATCAGAAAGCAGGAGTTTTAAAAAGCCCATCAGTTGCAAAGGGGATTTAATGCATGCCTTTCTGTGCTTCCTTTGATCTTTGTATTAATTTTCTACAAGTCTGTGATTTTTGTGTGTTACAGCATGCTTGAATTGAAAATTTGGCATGCTAACCTTTTCCTGTTGGAATCTTGCTTTATAGGATAGGAGATGAGGAAGAGGACAACAAACACCGGTATGTGACTTCCCTCAGCAACATCAACTCCTTCATTCTTTTTCCTGGCAATCCCTTAAATAGCAGCTCTGGGACTTTTTTCCTCAGTCACTGAGCTTTTTATGAATGCCCTCAGGGAATATTCAGGCCTTGAGGTTCCTCAGGTTTCACCTTGGTTTGGATTTTTGTGCTCGCCATCACTGGAGAACCTCAACTGTCTGATGGCTCCTCTGGTTTTCCCTCTGGAGCTGCTCTCCTGGGCTGGCAGGGGTGTGTGGTGTCACTGGGGTGGGGACAGGGAGCTGCTCACTGGTGGCAGTGCTGCTGCAGTTTTGGGACTGTTCAGGTTCCTGGTGCAGCTGGTGTGCACACTGGAAGGTGCTGTATGAACACCAAGGATTATTTTCCCTCCCTGAGCCTATTACCCTGCAGAGAAGCCTCTGTCTCAGCCTGAGCCTATTGCAAAAGATCCAGGTGCTTTTTTTTGCTTATCTATTCAGCATTTCCTGGATTATTCCAGCATTATCCTGAAGGAGTTTTGAAGCTGTTCAATTCTCCTTAGCTGTACTTTCTCCTGTGCTTATGTCTTTCCAAGACATGGTTTTACTTGAAGCCTGACTTTTCTCAGCAGGATGGAGGGATGGGATTCACCTCTGCCCAAACCTTCACAGTTGTAGCTACTTAATTTAAGTCACTTTGTGGTTCTGTTCTTCAAAGAGTACAAACGCTGCTTTTTTGTCAGCTCTCTTGGAAAAATGGAGCTTTTAAACTCTGCAGAGAGGTGTTATTTCTTCTCTAAGGTCAGTCAGACTTGGTTACCTTAAAAAACCCAACTTTGTTTACTTTATGGCTTCAGCATGAGACTGTTTTAGTCCAGTCCCCATTTCATTTCTGCTGTGTGAATTTGTCAGACACAGAACAGCTTCACTTCTGGAAGTGCTCAGCCTTCAGCCTGTAGTTCTGGAAGCACTTTCTTTAAATGCTGAGCTTTCTGCCTCTCTCCCCCACAACCCCTGAGTGAGAAGAGCACTGCAAAACAGATCTTTTTTTCTCTCCTGTGAGTATAAAGCTCTGTGCTGTAATTTTTGCCTGGCACTTCCACACCACAGGAGTAAAGCACACTTTGCTAAAACCAGCCTGTAACGCTTGACTCAACTCCTCCTTCAGCCACAGAACATTCCAGCTGCAGTGGCAAAGTCTTACAGCTTTATCTTCACCTCCCACCCTGCACTCCCCTCCCAGGGAAGGTGGTGTGTTCTTGGAGTATGGGTGAAGAGCAGAGCTGATCCTTGTGGGCTCAGCCCCTGTTCCTGCTGGTGGCTGTCCTGCAGGTGTGAAGGCACCAGCTCCTCTTGGAGGGCCACCATCTGCTCAGAGTCTGGCAATTAGAGGTCCCTGTGCATATGGATCAGCTTGCTTTTCTATTCATCATTCAGCTCAGGTGGAATTTTTTTCTCCCTTCTTTGTCAGTTTAAAGGCTGATTAAGGGCTCTTAACTCTGTTGTGCTCCAAATGTAATTAGCAGCTGAGTTTTCTGGGCTCTGAGGATGAGGAGCTGCTTTTTAGCTTTTCTAGACTTTGGGACTGATGAGTAAAGTGTGTTTTAGTCTCTGTCACACAATGATGGATGTGAGGCTGTAAGGAAAATGCAGCTTTCAACCAAAGAAGAAGTGCCTACATGCTGAAAATGGGGAAAAAATCACAAGTTTCTGAATCAGTCCTTTTGGAAAGGGAGAGCTTGTTAGATTTAAACTTGAAATTCAAGGAGAAATTCTGCAGATTCTGTAAAGCCCTGTGCTGGGGCTGGCTGGGATGGAGTGACTGGGATTTGGGGCTCTGAAGTTTTGGCTGTTGCTTCACAGTGTCAAGGCTTTATCTGGTCCCACTCTGGCCCAGAGGGACCCTGGGGCTGGGTGAGAGCTGGGGAGGGGACCCAGCTGGCCCTGAGTGGCCAAGGGGAAATTCTGCGCCATAAAATGTTATGGGGAGCAATAAAAACTGGGGGAGAGGAGGAGGGAGGGGTTTGGCTTCTGAGGTGCCTTTTTTGGGGACTGGCTGGGCACTGCTCTGCCTGGGGAGGTGGTGAGTGGATTTCCTGGGCTTCTTTCTTTCTTTCTTAATTCTTTCTTTCTTAATTCTTTCCTTCACCTCTTAAACTGCATTTATCTTGACTTTCAAGTTTCTGACTCTTGTTCTTCCAATTTTCCCTCCCTGTCCCTCTTGAGCAGTAGGGAGTGTCTGTCTGTCAGGGTACTGTTCCCAGCCCAAAAATCTTGTCCTGGCTTCTGAATTTCCATTTCTCTTTGCATTGTGGCTCCTGTAATCTTTGCCTTAGTGGCATTGACTTTAAAAAGAATGAGCAGCATTGCTATTGCCTCGTTAGTATTTGTCTGTTCTTATTAATAAGCATATTTTTTAGTTAGATTTCTTCAAGGACTTGGACCTTCTGAATTTACTGCTGAAAAATCATAGACTGCCTATTGATTGTGCTGTGAGCATTCATTATGGTGTGTTTTTGGGAACTGGCAGTGCTGGGTAATGTCTCAGAGCTGGAAGATGATGTTTTGCAGACTTCCAGCAGTTTGCCAAAGGGAGGCACGGACAGAATGAAAAGAAATAATGGAATGGAGGCAGAGGATGAAAGAGAGATTTAAACAAGTTTTCATCTGTATTTTGAAATACAAGCAAAATAGATTGAAAACACAATTAAAATCACTTTAACTGCAGCTTGTGAGCTTACATTAGTAATGGTAGGAAAAAGCTCTTCAGGAAACCCAGACAATTAATGGCTGCTGTGAATGGATCTTAAATGTTGTGTTATGCAAGGTTCATCTGCTCCCTTTCAGATATCTCTTCTGCCCTGTAGCTATTTTAGCTACCTTGTGTTTTCTCTGCAAAGAAGATCCTTTTGTTTTTTTATTCAGCTTTTAAAGTCAGTGATGGTTTTCTATTTTGAAGGCTGTTCTTTTATGTCAAATCACACTTCTGTACTTTCAGGTCTCACAGAAAAAGGAGTCAACCCAGAAGACACAAAACAGAGGATCAGAAATCTCTTGGGGATGTCATGGCTATTGAAACTGCCTTGGAAGATGTGAAAGTAAAAGAGGAGCTGAAAAGGGGGCCAGATCTGGAGGAAGAGGAGAGAAGCAAAGGGATGGAGGGAGAAGGTGAGGCCAGAGCAGTGAGGAGCTGGGGTGAGCTCTGAAACACCTCTGTGAATAACTTGTCTGCTGCTGTTGATTTCTGTTGAAATATCAGCAGAGTTTTCCCCAATATTAAAAACTCACTGAAATATGTCATCATTCACAGCAGCAATTGATTTTTTCCTCCCTTTAAGGATTCAATCCAAATAGCTTTTTTGGCAGGGCTTGAAAATTCTACAGGCTCAAACTATTCCAGGATTGTAAAAAATATATATTATGTGAGGAATATTTTAAATTATTTCATAGAGAAACAAATAGATGTATTTTTGTGTCCTGCCCTGAAAAAGAATGATTTATGCGCTGCCTTGTGCAATTCATCTTTCCTCTTCCCCTCCCTATGTTCCCATTTTTCAGAGACTGAATTCAGAGAGCTCAGTTTGGGTGGGATCCACAGCTGCTGCACGAGTCCCACTTGGGTTTCTTCGAGTTTAGCTGCGGCAGGGAAGCTTTGCAGCTTCCTCTGCATGAAATATAAAACCTTTGCTGAAAATAAAACCAGGCCATGACAACTCCCAGTCCTTTGGGATTCCTCCTGCACGTCCAGTCCCCTTTGTGCAGGGGGCTCTTTCTGTTGCACCTTTTTCTTGGCTGTGTAGAAAAGGTTGGAGTTATTGCTGGGAAAAAGCTGCTTTTCCCCCCGATGTGTGGTGAAGTGATTTTTATGTCTGTGACACACTCACTCCCTCTTTGAGGCTTCTCCAGCACTTAGAGGGAATTAATTCACATCTATTGTATATATCCATTATTTGTTTAGCATTTGGAGAAACTGATGCTGCAAACTGTTTAGAGAACCTCGATAATGATCATAAAGGAAATCTGTGGAAGCTCTGGGAAGAGCATTGAGGGCTTTGTTCAGTCTCTCAGCTAGACAGTGTATTTTCTCTTTTCATGGGAAATAAGGAGTTGGAAAACCATTGTTGCACAGTGCAGATACTTAATTTCTATTGCCCTAAGCTTGAGAGCATCAGCAGTGTGTTAAATTGTCTGCTCTTAGCTCTTGTACAAGTTTAACACTTGATGCTTGTAATAAATGGCCCGAAAATGCTGATTTTTCTTCGGAGACGAGAGATAAGTGACAAGGACAGATCTGAGATCATTAGAATGGCCAAGGAATAATAAAAACTCTGTTCTGGCTGAATGGCTTCCAAATCATACACTTCCACTACTTCTGAAGAGCTCTGTAACTGTTGGCTCAGGAGGGAAAAGCTTATTTTCAGCACCATTGCAGAAGTGCCACTGGAGCAAACTCCAGCTTGGTGTGGCTGCTTGCAAATGTTCAGCTTTCCTACTGCAATACAGCAATTAAATCCCAATGGCTTCTCTAGTTTTCCACATCCTGCTGTCTGCATTGCCTCTCACCAGTGTCTCAGGGTTTCATCTTGAAGAAGAAAACAGCATCTGTTTGGATGGCCCTGCTTGTGGTAATTCTGTTCCCACCCCCTCCTGCACTTCCTTTCTTTATTTCCCTGGTTTTAATTTGGCTTCATTTTCTATTACACCGGAAGACATGACCTTGAGAAGGAGAAAGAATGAGATTTCAAAGTAGTCATGGTTCCAAAGTAGGTCTTGTGCTTTGTGTTGGTTATTTGGACAAGCTGAGTATTTATAACTCGAGGTTTTCAGGATTTCTGACCCAGATCCCTTATGGTGTTTACTTTTGGTTTTTATGACTCAGCTTTATATTCATAATTTATTATGTTGCTATTTATAGATTTAGAATTTTAGCAGCTTGTCTTGGGACGTTAGGAAGGAGAGTGTTGATGCTTTGCCCTTGTCTGGGGGTGCTGAGCAGCAGAAATCCCCCTGTGAGTCAGCAGGGGAACTGCAAACCTGAGTGCCCCTCCAGGGCTGGGGGCTCCAAACCTCTCTGGCAGCCCCTTCCAAGCCCTTTCCAGGGAGGAATTCCTGCAGGTGTCCAGCCTGACCCTTCCCTGGGGCAGTGTGGGGCTGTTCCCTCTTGTCCTGGTGTCCCCTGGAGCAGAGCCTGCTGTCCCCTGGCTGTCCCCTCCTGTCAGGAGCTGTGCAGAGCCACAAGATCCCCCCTAAGCCTCCTTTCCTCCAGGCTGAGCCCCTTCCCAGCTCCCTCAGCTGCTCCCCAGTTTCCTGAGCTCTGCTGAGGATCCAGATTGTGGCAGCAGAGCTCTGCCACTCATGTTCCTTGTGTCACCTGCAGTTCCTCATGTCCTACCCACAGCTGCTATCCTTCTGCAGTGGAAGGACAGGAAAGACATTCCTTCTGAACCCACCTGTGCATGTGTGCCTTCAGGTCCTTTTCCTTCCTGGAAATGTTCAGGATAACCAGATAGACTGTCCTTGGAATTCTTCCTCGCTTTTTCCTGGCTTCTGATTCCATAGATTCACTTGCAAACTGGTTTGTTCATCGTAATGCAAAAACTTTCAAGCACAGTTCTTGGTGCCAGCTGCTGTCAAATTACCCTTTAGAAGTCAATAAAGCTGGTGAATGGCATTTGTGGTGCTGTTGGGGAGAGAATTCTTGGAGTGTATAGAGAGTAAATATGATCTGGTTTTGTGCAACTGGGGAGAAATCCAATTTGCCTTTCATTCAATATGTTTGTTTCTCTAAGGAAATTCAATATTCCTTTCTCTGTGATAGAACAAACCAGTTTATCTGAGGGACTGCCTACATGAGTACAACTATAATTATTTGAGCTGGACTTGTTCCCATTTTTATAAGTTAGTGTAAATTGTAAATAAAGTGATCAGACTTCTGTGGAGTGCTGGGGTTAAGGTGATCCTTAGGGGATTTCAGCAGGGATTTTGGCACTTTATCCTATTGTGGGATTATTCACCCTTCTTCATACAGAAACCTCTATTGTGTGATGGTTATTCTGGTTTTCCATTCATGGGTTGGGCTGGTCAGGTTTGGTGTAGCCTGAAGTGGAGGGGTCTGGGTGGGTTGGGGTTGGTGAAACTTCTTCTCTGGGGTGAGCAGGCTGTCCCTGATTATCCCAAACTGGAGACTCCCCTCAGTGGAGAGCAGGAATTTTAATCCCTGCTGTAAAACGGGAGTGTGTGAATCCCTTCACAGGGAAGAGAGGTGGAGAAGACTTTTACAGGCCAGTTCTGCCTCTGGTGACAATGCTGAGATGTTTATCTGCTCAAGAAGTGTTGTCACATCCATGAGGGCTGTGCAGATAAACCGAGTGACAGTGAGCTGGGAGAAACAAGGACATGGGTGTGAGTAAAGGATATCTCAGGATCCAGCTGAGCTCTGTGCTGCACCTGATTTATGCTTTAAAAGCATTTTTTAAAAAAGCTTGATAGCAGAAATCTTTGGGTAATAATGATTCAGGTATCTTTTTTTCAGTTCTTCATTTCCTGGGGCTGTTGGGTACATTAACACACAGTAATACCCAGATAAGAGCTGTGCTTGCAAACACAGGGAGCAGCAAACTACTGATACACAATGGGGGTCTCCAAACTCTTGATTGCACCTCCTTATCAGCAAAAAAAAATCTGAGCACACCTCCTGATGTATGTCTTTATTTATATTTATTCATATACAGCCCAGGAATACACATGTACACATGTATTTCTGTGCTAATGTGAATATACAGAAAAACAGAGACTAGAAAAGGAAGGCATAAAGATAAAAAAATACTGTTTAAATATTTATTTTATTAATGGTACAAAAATATTTCATTCCTGTGCTCCAGTGGATGGTTTTGTGCCCCTGACTTTGGAGGACAAAAAACCTGAAGCACAGAGTCATGGCTAATGTGACATATTACAGGTTTTTTGGCACACTGTCCAGTTTCCTAGGGATTTAGATATTTTCCCTCCAGGAAACGTTGCTTTTCGCAGCCTTTGTGTTCCAGTCAGGAATTTAATAGTCCATAGAAATGACACAAGTATTTTCTTTCTGAAGTGGCTTCTCTAGGTCAGTGCTGAGGCACAGCTGAGTGTGTGCAGCTTTCAGAGCGCTCATTGGAAGGCAGCAATTCCATGGTGGAATGTGCTAGCCCAGATTGGAGCTCTGGGAAGGGAAAGCAGCAATTCCATGGTGGAGCATGCTAGCCAGCACTGAGCTCTGGAAAGGGAAAGCAGTAATTTCATGGTGGAATGTGCAGGCCCAGCAGAGCTCTGAGAAGGGAGGGAAATGCTGAATTCCATGGTGGAACATGCTAGCCCATCATGGAGCTGTAAGAAGGGAGGGAAATGCTGAATTCCATGGTGGAATGTGCTAGCCCAGAATGGAGCTCTGGGAAGGGAAAGCAGCAATTCCATGGTGGAACGTGCTAGCCCAGCACAGGGCTCGAGGAAGGGAGGGCAATGCTGAATTCCATGATGGAATGTGCTAGCACGGAGCTCTGGGGAGGGACGGAAAGCAGTAATTCCATGATGGAACGTGCTAGCCCATCAGGGAGCTCTGGGAAGGGAGGGAAATGCTGAATTTCATGATGGAACCTACTGAATTCCATGATGGAGCTCTGGGAAGGAGAGAAAGCAGTAATTCCATGGTGGAATGTGCTAGCCCAGAATGGAGCTCTGGAAAGGGACGGAAAGCAGTAATTCCATGATGGAATGTGCTAGCCCACCAGGGAGCTCTGGGAAGGGAGGGCAATGCTGCATTCCCAGCATTTCAGGGCTCAGTGTCGCCTTTCTCTCCACAGGGGAGTGCAAGGCCAAGGCGCGGCCCCCGAAGGCCAAGGGCGAGCGCAAGAAGAAGCAGCTGTTCCCCCCTCAGCCCACGGGGCCTGTCCCAGGGCCCATCCCGGCCCCCCAGCCGCCCCCCGAGGCCGGGCCAGGCCCAGCACGGCCCCCAGGACCCCCCTCAGCCCCAGGCCCGGAGCAGGCCCGGCCCGCGGCCCCCCTGAACGTGGTGCAGCCATCGGAGGCGCCGGCCGAGGAGGACGACTTCAGGCCGCGGCCCATCATCCCCATGCTGTACGTGGTGCCCCGCAGCAAGAAGGTGGTGTTTGACAAGGAGCACATGTCCTGCCAGCAGGCCTTCGAGCAGTTTGCCACGCAGAAGGGGCTGGGCTGGCGCCAGCAGGGCCCCGGCAAGGAGCAGGACGGCGCCGAGGCCGAGCGCGCCGAGATCGCCGCTGAGGTGAGTCCTTGTGGCGGGAAGGAATGATCAGTCTGACTCCATAGATTCACTTGCAAACTGGTTTGTTCATCTTAACGAACAAAAACTTTCAAGCGCAGTTCTCAGTGCCAGCTGCTGTCAAATTACTCTTAGAAGTCAATAAAGCTGGTGAATGGCATTTGTGGTGCTGTTGAGGAGAGGATTCTTGGAGTGTATATTCGTATTCTTGAAGGCTGATTTATTATTTTATGATACTATATTAAATTAAAGAATAATATACTAAAGAATACAGAAAGGATACTTACATAAGGCTAACAAGATAATAATGAAAACTTGTGACTCCTTCCGGAGCCCTGACACAGTTTGGCTGTGATTGACCAATAAGTCAAAACAATTCTCATGAAACCAATGAAACAATCACCTGTTGGTAAACAATGTCCAATGACATTCCAAAGCGGCAAAACACAGGAGAAGCAATGAGATAATATTGTTTTCCTTTTTCTCTGAGGCTTCTCCTCAGCTTCCCAGGAGAGAGATCCTGGGCGCAGGGATTTTTCCAGAAAATGTGACAGTGACAGTCAGCAGCTCGCAGGCTGTGGTGGCCAGTGTGAGGACAGCCCCAAGGCCAGGCTGGGTGCAAGCACCACCTGGTCTAGGGGTCTGCAGCCCCGTGGCAGGGTTGGAACTGGATGGTCTTTGGGTCCCTGCCAACCCAAACCAGTCTGGGATTCCATGAGTCACGATTTCCGTGGAGTTCCCAGCTGTGTATGTGGTTGAGCAGACTTTTCATGAGCTGATGGAATTAGCAGCTTGCAGATGTTCTGAGGCTGTCCTGATTTGAAGAAAACTCTGTAGATTACCCAACTTTTTAAGAGCTGGCGTTGGCTTTTATCTGCTCCAGGAATTGGCTCGGAAGCCTTCAGTGGTTCAGCCAAAAGGCAGAGAAAAGCTTTCTGTGTGAATCCAAGAGCTCTCTTTGACAGGTGCTCTGCCTCTCTTGTCCTGTTCCCTGCTTTGGGGTGCCCATCCAGCTTGTTGTGCTTCCTTCCAGGCTGCTTCTGCCTTCTCCAAGATGAAGATGGAGATCAAGAAGAGCCGCCGGCACCCGCTGGGCAAGCCCCCGACGCGTTCCCCGCTGTCCGTGGTCAAACAGGAGACCTCGAGTGACGAGGGTGAGTGAGCAGCACCAGGGCCCTGGGCAGGTCCTGTCTGAGCCTGGGAACTGCTGCAGCCTCTGACAAAACTGGGTGGCCTGAAACTCTGTGTTACACGGAGCTGGTAGGAAATGCAGCGTGTTCCCGTTTTGATAACCCAGCTGGAAACAAAACTCTCCAGTGGGAGGTGTCGCTTCTCGCCTCCCACCCTTTTTTCACTCAAGAAAAATATTTTGCTGGCTGCAGAATGAGGCAGCATTATGGGCAAAGGGAAAAGAAAAGTTTGCAGAAAATAATATCTTAAAGGCAAAGCTCTGCCTTGGATATTGCAGTGGGGTGAGAGCTGGTCCTTGGAGGCAGTGGAGGTCAGATCTGCTCTCATGCGTGTGAGGAAAGTCAGTTCTAAGCTTTTTCTTGCCTCCTAATTCACATCAGTGTTGGGGTCCAACTTTCCTTGGCAGATGCAGAAATGAGAATTATAATGTTTTTTGGTGTTTAACTCTACATCACTGATTCTTCTTTCCCCACATTCCAGTCTCCAACAGTCTGGACCAAAGGGAAAGAAAAGATTCTTACCTCTCACTGTTTTGTGGTGTAATTTCCCACTTTGAGGCCTTTTCCGCATTACTCAGAATATGGACAATGCCCCAGCAAGGAGCTTTTGTGTGCTGGGTCAGGCACGTGGGTGTAGCTGACAGTCCCTGTTCACAGCTCCTCATTCCAAAGGACATCATCTTTCCCATTCAGCCTCCTTCAGGAGTGCAGCCATTGATTTTAGAGCCTTTTCTTGCCTTTCCTCCTGCAGGAAAGGCTTCCCCTGAACTCACAGAGCTCCTTCCTCACCAAGGAGGATGCATTTGATGCCTTCCAAGTGTGTAGCATGGAGTTAAGTGTGCAGAGGCAGCTGAGACTTGTTATCTTGGTGTGAGACCTTGGAACCAGCTCAGAGCTGGAGGATCCTCATTAGGCAGATTCTTCTCACTGCTTTGACTTGTTGGATGCTGTTTGGGGACTTGGCTGGTGGAGCAGGAGCAGCTCTTGTGGAAGCTGGCATTTCTTGGGGAGTGATTTACAGCTCTGGTGGGCAGAATCTGATCAAACAGATTCTTCCCTCCCCACCAGGGAATAGAGGCAGCTCTCTGCACCCCAGGCTTTTCCAGGGAATGATGTGCAGGATGAGCTGCAGGCTGCAGCAGGAACAGTGAGCATGTAAATTAAGGGAATGCACATTTTACACAAAGATTCAGCCCAGACGAGTTGTTTGCAATGTGGGAGCCATCCTGAATGCCTTGTGGATCCATCCTGGGAGGAGCCAAGGTGACAGCACATGACAGCCATTCCCTTTCTTCTCTCCATCTGTCACTCTGGATTAGGCTGCTGCTTTCACTGATTTCAATGGTGTCATAAATCCTGCGCTGTCACCTGATGTGCCTCGACTGAAATTTGGAGAAATGTGGGTTTTGATTCACGTCTTATAAATAAACACTTTTTAGAGGGTAACCCTCATATGAAATGTGACAGAGCCACACACCCAGCACTCATCACCTTAAAAAAGGGATTAATAAAACACAATAATATTTCCACATTGTCTGACAAATATGTTATGGGCAACATTTAAAATCTGAGATGTAAACTCAGCCATTAACATTTTACTCCAAGTTCCTTTTATCCTTTCAGGTAACCCAAGAGTCAGAAAATCTTCAAAGGGAGGGAGAACTGGGGAGGAGACTTAGACTTGTAGAGCAGAACATAAACTGCTTATTTCCAGTAATTAACAGTGAAGCAGTGAACAATTTGGTTTAATGTGCTGAGCTCTGGGGATAATGTTCTTCCAAGATGTTGTTGAGTTCCCTGTTCTTTTGGAAACTTTGCAGATTGGTGATGCAGGGAGTGATTTACACTCAGCCTTGTGTGGAAAATGTCTTTAACACTTGCAGTGACTCAAAGCTCCTTCATAAGGAAGGGTAAGGAACTCAGACCCCCAGACTGCCACAGATGGATTCAGCAGTGGTTTAATCATGAAATGCCAAGGACCTTTGAAAGGTTTATAAAATAAAGAACTTAACAAAGTTCAAATGAAATCTTCATGAAAAGGATGGTGGAGGTTTCACAGCTGGAAAGGGGAGGGAGTTACAAAGGCAGTAAATCTCCATTCTCTCCTTCCTCGTGGCCAATTCCTTCAGGTCACTGCTGCTCCTGTCTTGTGTATCGTGTCCCCAAAGGGGATATTCTGTCCATTTAAGGAAATGTTTGGGGCATAGGCATATGGGAGGCCATGGAGGAGTTGAATATTTTTGTTTATTGCACTTCTTGTGTTGTTGAGACCTGAGCTGTTTAACTCACCCTTGCTCCTTTTGCCTCTTCTAACCATAAACTCTTTTGCCTTTACTTACTGCTCATTGTTTTGGGATTTCTTTTTTCCCTTTTCATTCTAGAAATGTTTCCATTTTCTGGAGAGGAAGATATGAGTGATCCAGAGGCTTTGAAATCTTTACTTTCCTTCCAGTGGAAGAACAAAGCACTTAATTTCCCAGCTGAAAGGAAGTTCAATGCAGCTGCTGCCCTGAGTGAGCCATACTGTGCTGTCTGCACCCTCTTCTACCCCTATAACCAGGTAATTCCTCATCACGGAGACAGGGAATCATTAAGGTTGGAAATGGATCTAGGATCAAGTCCAGCTGTCAATCCCTCACCACTGTGTTCACCCTAAATCCACATCTCCCCTCTGTATCCATGGGTTTTGTATCCATGTTTTTTTTGGGATGTTGACCCCAGTTCTCTTGCAGCCTGTGCCATTGCCTGACCACACCTTCCATGAAGAGATTTCCCCTAATATCTCACCTAAACCTCTGCCACTGCTCACATGGCTGAGTTAGGATGCAGACATTTCTGGTACAGGCATTTCTGATACAGACAAACCCACACAAATTTGCACACCAAAGAAATGTGTTTGGATTTGGCAGTGGCTGGAGCCTTTTTTGTTATCTTTCCTGGCTTCTCTGGCTTGCTCAGTGTTCATTTTGAAATCACACTGAAAGAGCTTTGCAAACACTGTTCCATGCAGAGAAAAGTCACACCAGGCTCCTGTTTCCATACGGGCCCGAGTTGCTGAATTTATGCAAACAAGCCGCAAAATAAAAATTTACTGAGTAAGCACATCCATCACCTTTTTTTGGAAGCTACCAATATGCTTTGGGAGATGTTATAAGCAGAAAGGCAAAATTCATCAGATGAATTAGTTATTTGTGCAGTTGTGCATTGATTTGTTCTCACATAGAGCCAAATCTGGCTTTGTGTGCCCACCAGGAATTCGTGCCTTAGATACTTGTAGCTGTGTTGGAAGCTTTTCCTGAGGAAAGCAGAACCCACCTCCCCCTTCAATAAAATCTCTTGATTTATTATACAGACTGAAAATAAAATATCTGTTCTGATTGCTGGCTGTTGTGAGGAAAACTGGGTGCAGCTGAGCTGGTTTTATCCATTGCTATTAACTCTGTCAGCTACCAGAAACCTTGAAATGTCCTTCAGGAGAACTTCTTGCAGGAAAAGTAGTGAAGGATGCCAAAGGGATGGGAGAGAGGGAGGGAAGGCCTTGCTTTTAGTAATATTTTCCTTTTTATTTTTCCTTGGTGTTTTCAGCTGCAATTTAGGAATTTTCTGCAGAAGAAAACCAGGAAAAGCTGCTCGTTATTCTAATGCTTCTTTGAACTTTCACAACAAATTACAGATCCCAGCTGATGCCTGAGGAAGAGGGGGAGAAGCAAGGGGGGAATCAGGATTTTAGGCTGTTTGTTGGCTGTTTGGTGCCAGGTGTTGGGTGACCTTTTTGCAAGGGGAGTGCTCAGGGTGGAGAGTGAGCACCATGGCCAGGAAGAGGAGGTTCCAGTGATGGGGTTTTCTCTGCAGTCCTCACAGGTGGAGAAGGAAGCTGCCCCAGCCTCCACAGGGGAGCCGTCCTCGTTCGTGCACCTTTCCAAGTGCGGGCAGAAGACCAAGCCCCTGATCCCAGAGATGTGCTTTACCTCAAGTGGAGAAAACACCGAGCCCCTTCCTTCAAATTCCTACATTGGAGAGGATGGAACCAGCCCCTTGATATCCTGTGCCAAATGCTGCCTGCAGGTTCATGCTAGTGAGTGTTTCAGCTTCCTCAAAGCCTTTGGGTCCCCAGAAATCAGGAGTTTGGGTGCTGCTGTATTTGAGTTCCTTCTTGGCAGGTTTGTATCCTGTCACTCCCATTTTTATCTTTCTTGGTACAAGGATATCAGGAATCCCAGAAAGGTTTGGGTTGGACGGAGCTTAAAGCTCATCCAGTTCCCATCCCCTGCCATGGGCAGGGAACCTTTCTCTCAAAGCACATCTGTGTATTCAAGTCCATCTTGGCAGCCAGTGATCTTAAAAATACACACCAATATTCTTTTTACTGCTTATTTTGTTGGCTGATTCTTCTCTGTCTCAGAGAAAAGATTCTTTCTTTTGATACCTTTCATTTTTTGTAATAAAGCAGAACTCAAAGGCTTTATTGCACTCTTTTTTCTCACATATTTTGTTCCAATATTGTTCTGCTGGGGGAGGCTATATTGTTCTTGCATGCAGCAGAGATTATGGAGTAGTTTGAGATATATTTTATTAGTGTCTGTGATAGTGTTTGTAGTAATGGCACTTGATTGCAAAAGGGAACATATGTCTGTTTGCTTCCCTGATAGTTATGTCTAAAAGAAGATCTGATTAATCCTGGTGGAGTGTACCTTCAGTGGAGATTGTACAGCATCCAGTTAACATTTGTGACGAATTACTGTTCAGCTGTTTGATCTTGACAGATGGGGAATCTTATTTGACTTGCATCAGCTGGAATTACTTTTGTTGTTCCAATTTTAGAGTCTGCAGGTCCCCGTGCAGCTCAGCAGGGCTGGGGAACTGGAAGCAACTTTTGTTTCTGTGCTGAATCCCTGATTATGGTCATTTCTGGCTAATCAGGCCATGGGATGCAGAGTGGACGTGAGGAGGAAAATTTCATCCTCCCTTCACAATTCAGTGCTCCTGCATCTTGTCCATCCTTAGACCTGCAATAGTCCAGCCTATAGAATGGTTTCTGTGGCCAAATTCTATTTAAGGATAGAGGGCTGTGGGCAAGATGATGTTAATCTGCAGGCTCAGACCTGAGATCCATCTTTTTTTAGAGAAATTCAGCTTTATATTTTGGCTGTACTCTCCCCTTGAGGGTAGGACAGGACGGGCGTTAAATCTGATGGAGGCTCCAGTGCCTGGTTGTTTCCTTGTGCTCTGTGACATCCCTTTGACTTTGCTGCAGAGAATCCATTTGCTTTTATTGCAGGATTGCAGTGGTGAGGTGTATCTTGGCTGACTGTAAAAGCAGCTGGCAGCCTGTGTGTTCTTGGGAAGTGCCCTCTCAAACTGTGCTGGGTTCCAGGAGGGGGCCCTACAGAGAGGGGAAGGTTTAGGAAGGTTTCTGGGCTTTTGAGGCACTGAAAAATCCATAAAAAGAGCAGATTTTTCTTGCTTTATCCCTATGGGACAACCTGGGGTGAGGTAAATGGGACTATTCTGCCCTCACAGAATCACTGAGGTTGGAGAAGACCTTTAAGGCCATCAAGTCCAAACATCAGCACCACCACCCTGCCCATCAGTAGCCATGTTCCCAGGTGCTACATCCATGGATGTTTTTAACACTTCCAGAGAAGGTGATTCCACCTCTGCCCTGGGCAGGCTGTTCCAACCCTTTCCATTAAGATATTTCTCCTAAATTTCAATCTAAACCTCCACATTTGCAGCTTGAGGCTGTGCTCAGGGTCTGGCTCTCCCTCAGCTCGGTTTTGGACTCATCACCCCTATCCCTGTTCTAGCCTGGGTAGAATTTGCTGCCCTGATTTGCCATGTGATGAAAAGAGACCTCAGATGTGGAGAGCAGCTGCAGATCCATAGTATTGACTTTTTTTGACATGCTGTTTATCTGGTTAAGTGGATGGTATTTATAAATCAGGCTGTGGTGGCAATTCCAGTGCTTTCTGAATGTCTTCTTTTAAGTTTAATTCAGTAATTTGAGACTGTTCTTCCCAGCTGAAATTTTCTGTTCAGTTTGTTAGGACAGGTGAAGGCTGGATGAGATGTTGTTAGGAGGGATAGAGCCTGGGTGTACTGAGCTGTGTGTTAGTTGAGATGCTTATCTTCAATTTGCCACTCACTTTACAAGCTTGCAGGAATCACATAGATCTACTTTTCCAAAACTGTATTTGTGTCTTTCCCCCATTGTTTTCAGTGACAAACCTCAGTGCCTTTTACAGAATTTTAAGGACTTTTTTTGTTCTTATTTCCCTGTCTTTATAATGGGCATAATACCACTTTACTATTTTGGTGGTGTTGTAGGAGGATTTGGTGTTTGCATGTTACAGTAATTCATGCTTTGTAGAATGAGATGGTTTTAAGACTTCCTATAACCATAAATTAAATACTGTTAACCATGTGGAATGCAGGTATTTAATTTCCTTGCCCTTGTCCTTCCTCATAACACCACTCAGCAAAAGTAACTGCTTCAACCTTGCTAAAATTCAGTGGCCTTCCCTGTTTCCATTTGTGAGTGCACTCCAGCAGTGTGGAGTGGGCATCACTTTGGAGCCCAGTTCCTGCCTAAAGAAACAAAGTCTTGCTGTTGTAGTCCTTAGAAAAGTGAAAAACAAATGTGAGGGTTTACCTGTGGAGGCGTTTGGTTGGTTTGTTTTCAGACCTGCTGGTCCCACTTCCAATTTTGTTGGAATAGAGTTCCTCAGACGCTCTCAGAGTTGCTTCTGAACTGAAAAACCATGAGAAGGGAAACTGAGTGAAACTGAGAGGTGCTGAGGAAGGGCTGCTGTGACAGGCTGTGGCTCTGTCTGTTGCAGGCTGTTACGGGATACGCCCAGAGCTGGTGAACGAGGGCTGGTCCTGCTCGCGGTGCTCGGCCGGCGCCTGGGCAGCGGTAAGGGCTGGCACAGCTGGCATCACCCACTGCTCCACACACACACAGGGGGGAGGATTCACATTGCCTTTGACATCTCACATGGGAGATGGGCGGTGCTAAGGGCTGGCACAGCACTCCTGGCACTGCGGGTGTCACCCACTCACTGTCCCACACACACAGGGGGGGAGGATTCACATTGCCTTTGACATCCCAGGTGGGGTGTGGGCAGCAGTGAGGACTGGCACAGCACCCCTGGCACTGCTGGCACCACCCAGTGCCCCACACAAGCAGGGGGGGAGGATTCACATTGCCTTTGATATCCCATGTGGGAGATGGACAGTGCTAAGGGCTGGCACAGCACCCCTGGCACTGCTGGTGTCACCCACTCACTGTCCCACACACACAGAGGGGAGGATTCACATTGCCTTTGACATCCCATGTGGGGTGTAGGCACTTTCTGGGGAGGATGAAGAGCCTGGCAGAGCTTTTGGGCCCGTTCTGAAGGAGTTGTGTTCCCGCAGGAATGTTGCCTGTGCAATCTCAGGGGAGGAGCTCTCCAGATGACCACTGATGGCCGGTGAGTGCTGGTTCTGAGGGTGTTTTCCTTCCATGCTGCACCTGATCTCCTTGTCTTGTGAATTTGGTCTTAATGCTCAGTGTAGCAGCAAATTCTGGGGTTCTGGAGGGAGCTGCTCCTCGCTGACTTGGCAGAATGAGCCCGAGTGACTGTGCTGCCCTACACTGCACCAGGCTGCTTGACAGCAGAGCTCCTGAAGTCCTGCTGAATGTGGCTGTTTCTCAGAGAAAAGTCTTCTCAGAGAATGTTTAGCATTGTGCAATATCAGGTGTAGGGGAAGGTTGATCTCTGTTGTTCCAGAGACATTTACCTTGTGCCACCCTGATTAACAGTCAATGGGGAACAGTGCCACGGCTGCCAACCCCTGGAAATGTGCCTCGATGCTGAGGAGGCAGGGAAATGTTAACTGCCCTCCTGAGCATTTCATTGAGATGATGGCAGGCCCTGATTTGTGTCTCCTCTCTGCTCTCCAGGTGGGTCCATGTGATCTGTGCCATCGCTGTCCCTGAGGCGCGTTTCCTCAATGTCATGGAGCGTCATCCTGTGGACATCAGCGCCATCCCCGAGCAGAGGTGGAAACTGGTGGGTGTCTTTTCCTGGGGACAGTGGTTGGGAGCAGGAGCCAAAGGGAAAAGCTGTAACCAGACAGAAAATCATTGTGTGGGTTCGTGAAGCAGCTGAGATTGGAGGTGATCGCGCTTTCATTTCCAAACAAAAGCTGCATTTGTGTCTGCTGAGCCCTGTCAGTGCTTTTACACACAAGCAGCTCTGATTTCCAGATGTGCCTTTACTCTCTGGGAGTATGCTGTACCCTGGGCAGAGCCTGGGACTCCTTCCCACCTGCAGTCAGGTGTAAAGTGCCTAAAAGCTCCATTTACTCCAAGTGCTGCACAGCAGGAGTGCAGAGGGACACGGTGACTAGAGGGAAGCTGAATTGTTCATCTCTAATTCACCTTTCCTTACAACATTTCTCTCTTTCTATCAAGAAATCTCTTGTAGAAATGAATAAACATTTCTGTGACCCTGACTGCAAGGCAAGACTGCAAGGATTTTAATACAAGCCCAGCTCCAAGTTGTTATTTAGCTGTGTGGCCTCATCTGAGGGATTAGTAATGGACGATTCATTAGCTCAGAGCAATTTATCTTAATGTTAGTTAATGCTCCATCACTATAGTGTGTTATTGCAAAATAAATTGTGCTTTTGCTGCTTTTTTTGGTACAGAAGTCAGCTGGGTGACACAGTGTGGGATGGGGAAGGTGCTGGAGCAGTGATAGATGGGCTAGTGCTGATGGATTCGTTAACAGAGCTGCTACTTAGTGCAGCCAGCCCGGGTGAGAGATTAGGAGGAACCTATCCCTGCTTCCAGAGTTATTTCTCTGTTGTGCAAATGGGTTTTGTACACAAATGTGAATGTAAAAAGCATTCATTATTCAGCAGGAGTGATGGGGCAGCGCAGTGCCAGGGTGATAAATCTTGCAGCCGTGGCTCTTTATGGATCAGCTGACACTTCCAACGTGCATCCTCTTCATTACCAGCACTTGTAACGCTGAACTTAAAATCCTTTTACACAACACTCACTTGTATTGCTTAATGGAGCCTCACAAGGAAACATGACTTAATTCTTTAACCCTTCCCTGGCTGCCTGGCAGTGCTGCAGAGCCAGGGCAGTGTCTGTGTGTCTGACTCTGCTGCTTTGCTCTGCTCCAGAGCAGAGTCTGTGCCTGCCAGAGCCTCTGCATGGACCCACTGCACCCATTTCTCATTCATTCATTCATTCCTCAATCAAAACTGCAAACATTCATAGAATATCAGAATATCCTGAGTTGGGAGGGTCCCCAAAGGCCATCAGTCCTGCTCCTGGCCCTGCACAGACACCCCAACAATTCCACCCTGACATCGTTGTCCAAATGCTCCTGGAGCTCTGGAAAGAAATTTTGTTTGATTTCTTCTGTTATATTCCATTTGCACCTTGTGTTTTCTTCCTTTGTCAGGGAACCTGGAGAATTTTTACTTGAAGTGCCTTGACTTACACAGGCCAATGTTGGAATTTACAGGCACATATTCCTTGTGTTGCTGTTAGCCAGAGCCTGGCTTGTAGCTCAAATGTCAAAGCCTGGCTTTAAGCCCTTCACTTGGAAAGTTTTAGAGTTTTCAATTAGGTAAGGATTAAACAATTAATTTGGATGGCAGAATACAGAGGCAGTGGTGCTGTGGGGTACAGAGAGAGTGTAAATTGAATAAAATTGTGTGCAGAGACTCATGAACCATGGTGGGGAGGTTTAGGATTCTTCATGGGAATTTGCAGGTAACTCCTGGAGCATGTGGGGAGTCACTGGAGGAGCTTTGGAGGTGAGCAGCTGCAGTTAGGAAGATAAACTGAGGGAGACTAAAAGGTGATGGCATTGGAGCTCCTGACTTTGGCAATGATGGACTTGGTGCAGTACTTGATAAAATTGGGAAGATGACCTTTGTAGTTGGAAAAACTGGAAAAGGAGAGAAGGAATGATGTGAGGATAGTTGATGTAAATAGATGAGGGTAGTGGAGGAGAGAGGGGGTAGGGGCTATCCATGGTTATAATTTGATTTTTTAATATGTTTTTATTGTTTTAAGTTCCTGTGATGAGGGCTGAGGTGCCAGGGAGTGGCAGTGATCTGATGATAGGAATATCCTGTTCTCTGAGCATGGACCAAGCACAGAATTTCAGTCCATTTGTGGGTATGGCACCATTTTCAGAACTGCAGTTTCCTGCTCCCAGATTGATGGCACATTACAGGCCTGTGCACGTAAATTATTTATGACGTGGAAATTTGGAATAATTAGCTGTCATTCCTCAGTGGAGTAAATGAATTGCAGTGTTCATCATGCAGCAGACAGCCCATTTCTTACTCTCAGCAGTGACCTGACTCTGGTGTGCATTTATTTCAAAGATTTCTCTCCTGTGCTTTGGACTCTTTTCCCTCCCACAGAAAATGCTTTTAAATCTCCTTGTGCAGCTTTCCCACAGCACTTGGCACTGGTGTTTCTGTCCATCCCATCTCCCACACTTCCAGATCTGCATTTTCATAGATCCCAGACTGGTTTGGGTTGGAAGGGGCCTTAAATCCCACCCAGAGCCACCCCTGCCATGGTCAGGGACCCCTTCCACTATCCCAGAACTGCTCCAAGACCTGTCCAACCTGGCCTTGGGCATTCCAGGGATGGAGCTGCTGTGGGCACCCTGTGCCAGTGTTTTGCCACCCTCACAGCCAAGAATTGTCACTTCCCCCATCACTCCTTACACATCAGGCTCACTGTCACTCACATTTATCTTTTGATCATATTTGCTCTGAACATCCCTTTGCTGTCACAGGGAGTTTGTGTGGGCACAGGGTGTGTGCTAATCCTGGCTTGGCAGAGCCCTGTTGGCATCAGGAGGGGCAGATTCCTGCCCTGGCAGGGTTAATGCTCCCTGAGCCCCCTGTGTGTCAGCAGCTGCTGGGACAGGGGGATATTGACAGGTTAATAATGGCATCAGTGCCATTGACTCCCCTCAGTCCTGCTGTGCACTTTCCTGCTGCTTATCAGCTCTGGAACATGGTTTGCAGAGTGATAAAGGCTCAGCTTATTAAAGGCTAAACCCACGTTCTGGCAGCACTCAGGCTCTGGCTTTGAATTTCCTGGCTTTTGTTCGTTTGTGTAAAAAGGCCAAATTAATCTTTGGTGTAAACAAACTGCCTTCAGTTAATTCATGGGACTTATTTCATAGAAATGTGGGGCAGAGCCCAGCCGGGGGGGAGGTGTTGCACAGGAATAAGGAAGAACAAATCTCCTGTTCTTCGGCATCTTTTGCTTTCAAGGAAGAGAATTGTTCCTGGAGAAGGAATCCCAGAATGGTTTGGGTTGGATGGACCTTGGAGGTTTTGGAGTTCCACCCCCTGCCATGGTCAGGGACACCTTTTGTTCATTTTAATCATGAAAGGCACATTTGTCTCATGTGTTTGGTATTAAATTTGCCCTGATTTGCCTTGTGCCAGCCTCAGATAAGGTAAAGAAGCTGCCCCACCCCTGGAAGTGTCCAAGGCCAGTGGATGGGCTGGATGATTGGGATGAGCTTTAAGGTCCTTCCAGCCCAAACCATTCTGGGATTTGCTCATCAGTGACAGATTCCTGGAAAAGTTAAAAACTGAGTGGTGTTTCCAAATGGATCCCTGGAAACATTATGCAAGAATCCATTATTTAGACTGGGATTCCCAAAATCTCCTTTTCTGTATTTCTGAGGGGCTGGAAACAAGAAAGGGTGCTGTTATAGGGAGTGAGGAAATTTGTCTTGTTCCCACTACAGCTCCTGCTCCCTGTCAGTGCCATCAGGCTCAGGATTTTTCGCTTTGAGAAAATGTAATTTCTTTTTAAAGCAGTCCCACATCTTACATCGATTTACCTCATAACTGGATCTGCTTTGCAGAAAATGAGTGTGAAAATGTCTCTGAGATTTCAGACTTTTTCCCTGATAATTCTGGGTATTTTTTGTACAATGTTTTTATTTCTTTTGTTTGCAAAACTGACTGAATTATCTACAGTGGCTCATCTGACATGGATGCCAATAAAATATTTATGGTTGATATGCTTATGCATCTGAAATAAACACACAGTATTTTTGTTCCATTATGTGATTTTATATTCCATGAGATCTGATCAATACAATGTCCCATTAAATATAATCGAGCAAATTGCCACCCAGTTACTGTGTTCTGTTCCTTCAGAAAAATGGAAATGTTATTTTCCAGCAGAGCACCTGAGAGCATCCAGCTGCTGTTGGAGTTAATGAAGTGTAGGTGCAGTGAGGAGGATGAGGGTGCAGCAGTGCCACTGGTGGGTGTTTGCCCAGCCCAGTCTGTCTGTGCCCAGTGTGGCTGTGCAGGGCTGAGTGACTGGAGGTGCTGGCATGGCCATGGGAGTGGTGAGGCAGGGAATGACAATTCTGCTGGAGTTTCTTGCCTTGGAGAGATCCTGAGGGGGTTTCACAAAGACAGTCCTGGCATAGGGCTGTGGCACTGCAGCTGTGGCACTGCCGCCTCGGGCTCTCTGCCGTGTGCCACCTCCTGTGGGGGCTCTGCAGGGCGCCAGGCTCTGCTCCTTGAGAGATCTGAGCTCTGGGTGTGTCCCCTTGCAGAGCTGGGTGTCACTCCAGCTGTGTTCCCTTGCAGAGCTGGGTGTGTTTCCAGCTGTGTTCCCTTGCAGAGGTGACTCCAGCTGTGCTCCCCTGCAGAGCTGGCTGTGATCTCAGCTGTGTTCCCTTGCACAGGTGACTCCAGCTGTGCTCCCCTGCAGAGCTGGCTGTGATCTCAGCTGTGTTCCCTTGCAGAGGTGTGTGTACTGCAGGAAGAGGATGAAGAAGGTGTCTGGGGCCTGTGTGCAATGCTCCTACGAGCACTGCTCCACGTCCTTCCACGTGACGTGCGCGCACGCGGCCGGCGTGCCCATGGAGCCCGACGACTGGCCCTACGTGGTGTCCATCACCTGCTTCAAGCACAAAGCAGCAAACCAGAACGTAGGTTTTGGGCTGGGCTGAGGGATTTGGAGTTTTGTTGGGTTTTTTGGCTTCTGGTTTTTTTTAAATAGTTTCTCCCCGCCTGTGTTGGCTCAAAATGTTTTGTGTTTTTAATGCAGAAAGATTGTCCAGGAAGGTATTGTTGGGGATGGCTTTAATCTGCAAGAGGGCTGGTTTGGATGGGATATTGGGGAGGAATTCCTGGCTGTGAAGAGGGTAGAACAGTGGCACAGGGTGCATCCCTGGCAGTGCCCAAAGCCAGGCTGGATGGGACTTGGAGCACCCTGGGACTGTGGGAGGTGTCCCTGCCATGGCAGGGGTGGCACTGGGTGGGATTTAAGGTCCTTCCCACCCAAACCATTCCATGGAATTTTGGACGCAGCTTTTGCAGCTGTGTCTGGCAGCTGTTCCTGTGTCCCTGCAGGTGCCATTCCGCAGGGAGGTGGCCCTGGGGCAGACAGTGATCACCAAGAACAGGAACGGGCTCTACTATCGCTGCAGGGTCATCGGCACCAGCACCCAGACCTTCTACGAGGTCAACTTCGACGACGGCTCCTACAGCGACAACGTTTACCCCGAGAGCATCATTGTAAGGCAGCTCTGGGACCCTGCTGTGGCACAGGCACTGCAAACTGAGCTGTGCCTTGGGCTGGAACAGCAAAGCAAATCTTAACTTTTTCATTTTAATTTTTAAGTTGCTGCTCGCCTAGAAAATCTCATCCCGCTCTTCATGACAGAGCTTGTTTCTGACATTATCTCATTTATTTTTTGGTTGCTTTACAAAGATGTGATCTTGCTGAATGCAGATGACTTCACAGAAAGCAGTGTTTGTTCTAAATTTCATCCTATTTGTTTTGTGGTTGAATAATCTTATTTTTCAACTGACAAGTGTGATTCATGGGGGAAGCAGATTGTTCGTAAGCACTTCTGGTTCAAAACAGGGAATTCACTTAATAGAGGGAATGTCTAGAAGAGGCTGATTTGTCAGCTCATGCATTGCCTTCCTGATTGTGCCACTGATTCACTGAGTTGCCCTGCTTGTTTTTGAGATACAGGAGATGTGATGCTGTGGGATTTGTAATGAGAAATGTCCATGAGCTGGGTGCTGGCAGCAGAAGCAGCTGCCGGAGTCGGTTGCTGCTCTCTCAGGCTGGTTTTGTTTGAGATGCCCACAATTAATCACAAGTGCAGAAATACATCCTGTTGCTCATTAGCATGTGATTCTAGCACACCTCTGGCTCCTGAGCTCTGCTGGAGCTGTGTCTCTGACCCCTCTCTCTCTGTCCTCAGAGCAGGGACTGCATCCAGATGGGGCCCCCTCCCGAGGGGGAGCTGGTGCAGCTGCAGTGGACGGACGGGATCATCTACAAGGCCAAGTTCATTGCAGCCCAGATCAGTCAGATTTACCAGGTGAGTGGCAGAGGCAGCCCTGGGGTGTGCTCCAGGATGGGAGAGCTGAGCCTGCACCAGGGAGGAGCTGCTGGAGCTGGGCAGAGCAGCAGGAGGATTTGGGAGCAGATGATTTATTCCCTCTGAGTTTGTCCAGCCTGAACTTGACACCCCTATTAAACTGTGCTCTGTGTCCTTCTGCTTTATGCAGAAAAGTGTATTAAAGTCTTGGGCAAAGGAAATAAGAATCCCTTAAAAACTTTTAATAGTTTTAACATTTTGCTGTGCACGTTTCCATGAATAAACATCCCTGGAACATCTGATGAATAATTCATGATATAATCAGTGCTTAGCAAAAAAGGTTTCATGGGAGGAGTTTTTTGTACCTGGCTGACTATTTCTGCTGGTTGAAATACAAATGTACTTTAGTAGCTGCAGTTGTTTCCTTGTGACCTGTAAAAATGCTTTGTTTAAGATGAAAGAAATTCTTATTACCATATTGGCCTGAATAGAAGGCTGCTTTTATCATAAGTGAAAAGCTGCTTTTTTTCAGAGTATGAATCAAAAATCAGTAGAAATGTGAGGTGCTGGGCCAGCTGGAGTACAGTTATTTTGGGATCCATGGAGCACTGAATGAATCCACTTGGATAAGACAGAGGTGCCTGGACAGCACTGAAAGCAGCACTTTTTGGGCTCAGCATCCTCCCCAGAGCTTGGGAGTGCTCATTCCACAGAGACACCCATGGGAGCTGGCCCCTGGTGCTTCCTGCTGTGCCACAGGCTGGCAATGGGCTGTTCAGATGTGGCTCTGAGTTCACCTTCTGCCTCCCTGCAGGTGGAGTTTGAGGATGGCTCTCAGCTAATGGTGAAGCGTGGGGATATTTATACCTTGGAGGAAGAGCTTCCCAAGAGAGTCAAGTCTCGCCTGGTGGGTACCAAAATAGCAAACAATAAACCAGCTGCAGCTTGCAGAACCCCTTCACATTTTCTTCATGTATTTTTTAGACATTAGGTGAATGCAGCCTCCAGTTTCTGTGGCTGTAAAAGTGCTTGTCATTCCCAAAATACACAGAGTGGAAGAAATCCTGGCCACGGCTGCTTGAGAGGCACAGAAATGATTTCCCCTTGCACGTGTTCAGCTCAGAGTTTTATTTTCTCTGGTTAAAAGATTATGTTCAGATCATTTTACACCATATGAATTCAGTTATGTGGAGTCATCCTGTCCAGGGGTGAGGTGAGCTGGGCTGCAGCTCAGGGCTTTCTGGAGAACTGATTATCTCCGTGGGACCAAACCCCCTTTTCTCACCAAACTGGAGATTTAGAGTGTGGCTCTTACCTATAAATCTCTTAATCTACAAGATAAGGCTGTCTTTAAGTGCATACAGTGGAATTACTGAGCCTAGAAAAGATGAGGGATTTATTTCATAGCTTTTTTTTTTTTTTTTAAATTCCAGCCTTACTGGGTGTTTTTAGACCCTTTAAAGCCATTTCATTTAACCAGGTGGTGGGGCTGGAGAGTGTTCCCGGCCCAGGGGGACTGTGGGTGTCTCCCTGTGCTCCTGCTGTGCCCTGATGGCTGTTTTGTGTCTCCTGCAGTCGCTCAGCACCGGGGCCCCTCAGGAAGATGTGTTTTCAGGAGATGAAGTGAGAGCAGCCAAGCGTCCCCGGCTGGGGAATCCCAGGAATCCTGAGGAATATGGACAAACCCCAGATTACCTGGCCTTCATGGAGAGCCTGTTGCAGACACAGTACCAGCCTGGGACTCAGAGCAACATGTTTTAACCAGGATTCATCCAAAATATTCGATTAACCCTTTTTGAGTTAGTGGAAAAAATAAATAGGAAACTGTGGAATGGAAGACCAGCCCTGTGCAATAGCCTGCTGTGAATTTCTTTCATCTCCTCTTGGTTTGGACTGCAGGAAATCCCTGTCTGGCTGCTACCTCGACCTTGCCAGGAGTTGCTGACCAAGAGCTGGGGAGCTTGGAAACCCTTCAGCTTTTCACACGGAGACTTTGGAAGAGTTTCTACAGATGGAGCTTTGTGACTGGTTCTTTTTTTATGAGGAAAGGGTTAAAATTTAACGAAATGACTTTTTCAAATCTGTCAAACTTTTGTCTTTCAAGGTGCTATTACATTGACTACTGAAGCAGCCTTTGGAATCGTGTTTTCTGTACATAGACGTCACCTTTGTGAAGTTTTCTATGAATGAGCATTATTAAAAAAAAAAAAGCAAGCAAAAATAGGAAAATGAAAGTTTCCACAAAACATTTTTCTAGATTATGGCTTTAAAACAGAAAATAAATGAAATCCTCCCCCCTCACCCCCAAATGAATTGTGACTGATGTTACAGCGGGGAGAGGGAGAGCAAGAGCAGATGTCCTGGAATGTTCTGGGTTCTTCTTTTGTAAAGAAACACTATCTCTGTAAGCTGGGGAAGGTGGGCAAGCAATGTTCACGCTGGGATGTTTCTGCCATTGGCTCTCTGCACGCCCTGGCATGGATGTTGGCATCGCTGCCACGTCCCCAGGGAGGGGCTTAGGGAAGAAATGGCCAGGTTTGGGTCATGCCTCTCACCTTCCTTCCCCATCTTTGCCATCACAGTTGCTTTCTAGTTCAGGATCAGCATGGCTTTGAGTTCCAGTGTGCCACCCTGGTTTGGCAAGTGTTCTGTTGCTGCTTGTGTTAGCTCCCCACGAGCCAGAGGCTCCCTGGCAGCACTTCTCCCTTAGCACTTCTCCTTTCTCTTTCCTTTGTCTCTTTATTTTTTAACTTTATTATTATTATTTTTTTTTTTTTTTGAGTTGTGCTCCTTACAGTGTGAGAATCATTCCATGACAGAAGCCTGGGAGGTGTTTGTATGTTTTTCTTTTATCCTATTAAAGAAGAAATTCCTCAAACATCTGATTGTCGTGACATCCTTTCCTTAAGCAAAGACTGAGCCTGTGAGTTCCTCCTGGGGAAGAGGAGTGCAAGCCCTGCCTTGACTGGACTCAGCTCTCTGAGGATTGAAGGAGCACCAAAGGCAGAGCCCAGCCCTGCAGTGTGGAGGGGCAGCTCCCACCTGGACCTTTGGAATGCCCTGGGGCTGAAGAGCTGATGTGGAGCTTGGCAGAGAGCCTGCTCCAAACCCTGCTGGAGCCACTGGAAAATCTTCCCCTCTCTTGGAGGAGCTCGGGCAGCTCAGAGGAGAGGAGGAGGCAGTGCTTGGTGAGCTGGGAAGGTTCAGTGCAGGGGCAGAGCAGAGCTGAGGGCACCCAGACCCTCCCTGCACAGCCCAGCCAGCAACCTGGAATGCTGCACTGCAATCTCTTCCACTTAATTCCCTGAAATTGCTGGATGGAGAGAGACAATATTCTTGTTTTGATTATTATTTTTAAGCCCCTTTGCAAGGTGGTCGTTGTTCTGGGGAGAGGCTGTTAAGCAAAGCTCTGGCTGCATCTTTAAGGGAATAAGTGGGAAGGATTTGTGGGCCAGCAGATGGTAGATTAGCATCTTAAGAGACTCCATGGGTATTAAACTGTCCTAGTGAAAGAGTGGAGATAGAATAAAGCAATTTAATTCCTTTTTTACTTTGGTTTTGTTCTCCCTTGAGGATCGGAGGTCCCATCCTTTCTCCTGCCTGTGCTACGGGTCCTTTTCCTGTGCCTGCAAACAGGGTTCTGCTTTTGGGTTCTTTTATTCCTGAGTTTCTGAAGTTTTCAGTAGATGTCTCCATGAATAAAACCAAACTGAGACTAATAAAAGTTTAAAAATTGGCAAGGTTCTCCCGAGCCTGGGTTGTTCCTCCCACAGAGCTGTCTCCTGTCGGGTGAAATGTGATTAAATAGAAAACTTGCTGTATAAAAGACTAAGAATGTTGCCAGGCCACGAGAGAAATATTTAAAACAATTGCAAGAGAAATTTAACCAGCAGAGGAATTTTTTTGGAGGTGGGAGGGAAGGGTGGGATGGGATGAGGGGTTGTGAGCGACGGGGAATTTCCTCTGCATGCTCGAGTCCTGCAGTAGCTGTGTCCATGTGTAGTACCTTTCCCAAATGCTATTTATATTGTAAAAACACAAATGTGTCCCCTCACCCCATACTCAGAGTTATGTTAAAACATGAACCTGGAACTGTTGAATGCCCTTCCTTAGTGCAAGGCTTTTCTCTCTTTTTGTTGATTTTTAAATCCCTCATTTTGGTTTAGGAATGACTTGTGCAGATTCAGGGCAGCCTATTGAAAAGGAAATAGGAAATGCACATTCCTACCCCTTCCTCCAGTGAAATATACCTGTGTCTGATTATGTGCTATAAAAATAATGATTTTTTTTCCTTTCTCCCCCTAGATTAAGGCTGTGATGTATTTTTTGCCTATTTTTTTTTCTCTGCCTCTAGGTTCAAAATGAATTAAAAGCTGTTGAGCATTTCAGAATGACACTTTTTGGGGGGTTGAAGTCTCTTCATTTCTAAGTTTGAAATCTTGTGCAGCAGGAGGTTGTTGAACCTCCTCAAACAGCATCTCCCTGAAACTCCATTTAAACACCTTTCATTCCCCATCCAGAGCTTTCAGGTCATCTCTTGTTCCCAAGAATGACTGTGCTGGCACAGCACACAAAAAAAGGCAATTTTGGCACAATCCTGAGACTCAAATGAGCTGGAGCTGTTGACACAGAATTATTTGGCAGCTTTGGCAGCAGAAGAGGAGAAGTCCTTGGGTTACTTGCTCACCAATAGAAAATCACTGGGAGTTATTTATTCTGCATGAAAGCAGCAAAACAATTAAATTTTTGGTTTCCAGCAGGGGAAATGTAAAGGTCACTGTGCAAATACTGTTTGGAATTGCACAGTGACCACAGTTTAACCACTTTTCCTGTGGAACAAACAGGATTTTGGCTCTGTTTCAGCACAGTTCGCTTTGGCTCAACCTCTCCAGCCCAGCCTTGCCATTTCAGATGCCAGCTGCTAAATATCCCCTAGCAAACGAGCCAGCCTGTCTCTGAAACAGGAGTGATCCCCTCCCCTGTGCCCCAGATCAGGGTTTAAAAATAAAGAAATGGCCAGATCCTCTGCTCATCTGCTTCATTTAACTGAGCCATCTCTGGAAAATGCAGCAAATTGTGTTTGATCAGGGGTGAATGGTCAGTTCCCCCTGATGCAGGCCAAGATGCTGCTGCAGGGATTCGTCTGCCTGGCCAAAAAGATGAATTTGAGCCGATTCAGGTGCAGAAAAGCCCCTGGGCAGTTTTCTCTTTGGAGAAGCCACGAGGAGGGAGAAGGGCTCTGGTGCAAGTGTGATTTGCTCTGCTCAGAGCTGAGGTTTCCTTCTCTCTGTCACCTGAACAGCTCAGAGCCTCTGTGGTGTGCCTGGTTAATCTGGGATTCAGCTGGAACATGGAATTAACACTGCAATCCAGGAGCTTTGTGGCCTGGCTTGGGTGATTAGTGTGAGATTTTTGTCAGCACGAAGGGAAAAATCTGCCTGAGCACACCAGAGTGAGATCCCTCAGCTCAGGGGCGGCTCTGGGCTCCAGGAACAATTTATCATCACATTTTTCACTAATTCAGCTTAGAGACAATTGGCTGCTTGTTAAACGCTGCAGTTCCTCTCACTTCTGTGATACTCCCAAATCAAGGGCTTGGTCCATTTTGTCCACATAAATTTCCCTGCAGTTTTTCTCAGAAGTGAGAGATGTCCTCAGGTGTTTTCTGGCTTCAGGTGTTTGTGCTCAGACCCAGGTGTGAAGCACCTGCAGGTGACACAGAGCTGGTGGAGCAGAGCAGTGACAGCCCTGGCACAGCTGGGGCTGCCCCTGATCCCTGGAATGCCCAAGGCCAGGCTGGACAGGGATTGGGGCACCTGGGACAGGGGAGGGTCCCTTTTCCCTTTTCCCTTTTCCCTTTTCCCTTTTCCCTTTTCCCTTTTCCCTTTTCCCTTTTCCATTTTCCCCCTTTTCCCTTTTCCCCCTTTTCCCTTTTCCCTTTTCCCCCTTTTCCCTTTTCCCTTTCTCCTTTTCCCTGTTTTCTTTCCCCTTTCCCCTTTTCCTGTTTCCCTGTTCCCTTTTTTCCTGTTCTCTTTCTCCTTTTCCCTTTCTCCTCTTCTCTTTTCACTCTTCCCCTTTCCCAGTTCCCCTTTCCCAGTTCCCTTTTCCATTTTCCCTCTTCCCTTTTCCCTTCTCATTTTTTCCCTTTTACATTTTTCCCTTTCCCCCTTTTTCCCTTTTCCCCCTTTCCCCTTTTTCCCTTTCCATTTTCCCTGTTCTCTTTTTCCTTTCCCCCTTTCCATTTCCCTTTTCCCCTGTTCCCTTTTTCCTGTTCCCTCTTCCCTTTTCCCTTTCCCCTTTCCCCTTTCCCTTTTCCCTTTTCCCTTTCCCCTGTTCCCATTTCCCTTTTCCCCATTTTCCCTGTTCCCTTTTCCCCTTTTCCGTTTCCCCTTTTCCCCTTTTTCCCCCTTTTCCCCCTTTTCCCCCTTTTCCCCCTTTTTCCTTTTCCCTTTCCCCTGTTCTCTTTTCTCTTTTCCCTTTCCCCTTTTCCCTCTCCCTCTCCCTTTTCCCTTTTCCTTCCCCTGCATTGCACCCTCTCTGTGCCACCCTTCCCAGGTCCATGCTTACAATCTGGTTTTCTCCTGCCATCCTCCTCCTCCTCCTCCCTATTTTCATGTCAGTGCTCAGTGGGGGAAGTTTTCCCTTTTGTACAGCCTTGCTTTCAGTGTAACAGCTCTGCTTTCCTGCAGAAAATTGCAAATGGGCTCTCCCAGCTGCTTTGTTCCTTCTCCCTGTTCCTTTCTTTCCTCAGGATCTGTGTTGGGAGAGGAGGAAGAAAATTCAGAAAATTCCTTCCACGAGCAGTTCAAGGAGCTCC